TGGATCCGCCCCTTCATCATCAAGCAATAACGTACTAGGCCTAATGTACCGTACATATTGCCATCTGAACTCTTTCTAAAGCCTCTAGACATTGCTACCTGTGTCATTAGAAAAAATGTACTGTAAGCGGGTTTCGGCATACAGGACACAAAAATTTGAGGAAATAGTACCTCTAGATAGCCGGAAATGACACTCTTATAGTAAAATTTATTAGGCTTAGGCCTATCATTGCTCTGGCTGTACAGTGCTCTTTCGTTAATTTCAACAAAGTTCAGCCATCTTCTTGTCTTATGAAATTACATTGCGGTCTAAAAGTGGGGAACACCCCCTTAAAATATGTTGGGGACGTTTCCCACTTCCCCCTATGATCGGCGCGCCCATGCTGGCTTCTCTCTTAAAAGGTCGCTTCGTGTACCTGCTACTCTCGTCTGTCCACAACAGGAGCTGAATAAATTAATTTTATAATGCTTTTAAAAAAGCATCATTACATTCTATTCAGCCCCTGTTGTGGATGTAATCATGCTTTAAAAAAAAACAGTTTTAGTGTCGAAATAACAAAAAAAAAAACAAACCTACCGTATTCATCGTAAATATAAGCCTGCAAGAATGTTAAGACTTACTAGTATATGGACTTGTGTTGTTATTTTATTTTATTTTTCTCTTTCAGCACTCCTTAAACCAACATTGTCTACAACTAAGACTTCTTCAAGAGGCCACACTGAATAAGGACGAGCAAAAGTCGATTGCAATTGACGGATATGTGAACGGCTTTCATGTTACATTCCCCCGTCGGGGAGAAAACCACAATTCTTCAGGGAGAAAAAATGTATATAGGCCTATATTTCAACATATTAGGCCTAGTAGACTTTAAAATTGATTAAATAAGCCTTTGATAAACCCCTAAATTGTCATGTTTTTCGGAAGCCTCGCCTCCGGACCCGAAAGATTTTGGTCGACGCACGACCACTCCCAATTTTCTCAAGACATCGAACACCCCCTCGGACAAACCCTGGCGCCACCCCTATTTTTATGTCGAATGCATTTTCAATAGATTGCTGTTCATTTACTTCTTCCAATAAACTATTTAATAAATATGTATGAAGGCTACGTGTTTAATTTGGGTTTTCTTAAAACAGCATAAAAAACATATTTTTATAAATTTTGAAGGTATTACACCAATACTTGAATACCACCCCGCTACGTCACTGATATAGGCCTATTTATATATAAGGCGATAAAACAAGGTATAAGATTAGCCAAAATTTAATTTTACACAAATGTTTAATAATACGACAAAAAACCAAGCAAGAGCAATAAAGTAAGGTAAAATAGCTACGAAAGATTTTTCTCCATGGTAATGTAATGTATTTAGATTGGACTATCTCGTACAGTAAGCTGCTTCTTCACTAATGTCTGAGCTATCCATAAACCGGTACCAGCTACTCTCATCTGCATATTTAATATTATTTATCCACGTCCTTAAGACGATTGGTTTATTTCATTTTTGTTTATTGCTCATCCTTACGTCACTACAGTACCATGAAAAAAAAAACAAAGGGTTTAAGGAAAGGGATTTGTAGAAACCACTGAATATAAGGAGATAACTAACAAGGTCGCCAGATAACGTATTTAAAGAAACGATCAGTCTTCTTGGTCAAATATTCCTCATCAAGATGAAGACGTGTGTAGTTGTATTAGTTCTTGGCCTTCTTGTCTGTGCTCCAACAGTTTATCCTAATCCACTAGGTAAGTCTTATTTTTTTTTATATCATTTAGATTATAGAAAATATTCTTTCAAATCAATTCATGTTTTGCCTGGATCACGAGGTATAATTATTATTCGCTGGAATAATGGTAACAAACTATTGTTTAATATTTAAACGCCACTAGGCCATTATTATATAGCTCATGTTTAACAATTTAAATTGATGATAATGGTAATATTTTGCCTGTTAAGGTCGACTAGCATAGGAAACAATTACACTTTCTTTAAAAGTTGTGTTTTTGTGAAGTAAAATAATAATTTTCGTTATTTATTCTTTAGCATGTTATATGGAGTGTAGCACGTTCTGCGCTAAGGATATTCCAGGTACGATTGAATGGTTTGTTTATTTTACTTTCAATTAAAAATTAGTCTAAAAGAGATTAGCTATGAAATATATAATTACAGTACTTTGTTTCTGTTAATTGTAGTTGTTCTGACTTTTTGTTTTTATTAGGAATGTCAAAGCCACCAGTGTCAGCTGCGTGTTCCCCTTGCGAATGCCCTGTCCGACCACTGTGTAAGTCCACTATGTGTATTTCTTGTTCTTAAAACATAATTTGTTTTATATTAATATAGTACGTTCACCGTTCATAATTAAAATCCTATTAATAGGTTATTAATATAGTACGCCCGCTGTTTGTAATGAAAGTCCTGAGTATTAGGCCTAATAATAATTCAAAATCAAATCAAATAGGCCTACTTCTTTATTGTCAATACAATGAAGAAAAAGAAACAGTATAATATAATTGAAATAAATAAATTGCATGGAAGGAGTCTACAATAAGTTTTGCAAGATCTCACAGAGCCTTGGGACGTAGGCCTACCGTAGTTACCTTTTAAAAAAGTTAAACAAAATGACGGTAATGCATTAGAAGTTATGTTTTATCTGAACTATGGATAACAAGAAATTATATACCTGTAAAAGTAAAGTAATTCCGTTCCGTGTTCAAATACTTTTGTAATATTCATAATTACATTGGTGTTGATGTATGCTCCCCCCCCCCCACCAGACACACACACTTCGGTGAAGCTGAAGGGTGAGACTCCAATTTATTTACCGCATCGTCGTTCTCTTCTTTTCCTTTTACCGTCGTTCAGAGACTTTGCCCATTGTTCGAACCAAATTGCGATCTGTCTGAGGTGCCAAACAGCATTCCATCATTTTTCTTACTTTCTTTTTATTATTTGTAGATTGCAAATCATGTAACAAAATATGCAAGAACAAGACTTTTATGATGAGTAAGTAGCAAAACATTTAAAAATATCTATATTATGCGTTTATAAAGTACATTGTTTGAATTGCCTTGGTTATGCCTAATTATTACAAACTTTTAAATGTAAATTGATTTATGTTTATATCACTATTACATTGAGTATTTTGACGTTATCGACGTCGCATAACCTTAGTACTATCATTACCTCATGTGGTCGGTCAGTTGTGTGAGAGAAAGTGCCTGGGGGTTAGATCTTCACCTATACCGTATCCTATAAGCTCATATGGTTTAATTGGGATACTCACCTTTATAGCAAGAGGTTCGAATCTCGCCAGACACTTTTTTTCAAACAACTGAAATAAAGGAACTTACCGATGAGCTGTTTGATACAATTATTACATGTTCCTATTCGAGCACTGTTACTG